ACACAGCTGAATCATATATTTCGCACTTATTCAGTAGCAATTGGATAATATTTAAGTTATCTAACTTGTACTATAGATAGTGCGTCAGCTTTTCAAGCACTTTCAGCTAAACGATGCAGCACTCAGCAAAACCTTCCATGATAATAATAACAATGCCTTTGGCAGCAAATCTGTGCATTTACTTATATTTCTATACAATATTTTCAATGCAAGGTAGAGCGTGGAGCGTAAAGCATGGAGTAGAGCGTGGAGCAGGAAGGCAGCATAGATAATAATGCGGAGACAAGCCAAGCGAGAGGCAACGACGTCCTAAACACTTCACGTCATTTCCAATAAACTTGTCACAATAGCACTGCCGGTAGCCGTCGGTGGAGGGATGACTGTAGTAGTAGTAGTGGGAGTGCGTACTTTTTTTTTCCCAGATACAGTTGCAACTTTACGCAAGCGTGCAGACGCTTTAGTGGTATTTGCTCAGTTTGTTGTAGTCGTGTATCCGTTGAAAGCGCATTCAACGTATTTAGGCTACAATAGCGCGTAATCTATGCCACTCGACTTGCAACAAGCAGCAACGGCAGCTCCAGCAGTGGCAGTGGCAGTTGCAACAACTGCGACTGCAATTGCGGCGCCATCATTTTGCACAGCATTTTGCATCTAGCAGATACTTTTACCGCACAACACAATACAGCTTAATGCCGAAAAGTGCACAGCGCATGTATTTCATTTTATTTGCCTTGCATTTTTATGATTGCTATGCAAATGCAGCTCAGCCCTGGGCTAGCTAAAAACTAAAACAAGAAAGAGCAGTTATGTGTGGAGTACCACAGATTAAGATACCCTTTACGAAAGTTATATATCCACATTTCATCCCAGATAGAGGCTGCTATGATTTTCAATGCAGCATGACCTTAGAGCAGTTCAAACTCTGCATATTCCCACTGCTAGAGTATCCCAACAACTTCCATCTGCAACGCAACGAGGCGTGGCATCCTTTGTTCCGCCCACACTATAAAAGAGCAGCACAAAAAATAAAAACAAAATCGAATAGCGAGCTTGCTATGGGCGAGCTAAAGTGAGATTCAAAACAATTGTTGTCCAACTCGCACAAAGAAATCACACAACATAAACAACAACAAATAAAAAATAAAAACAAAAACGCTAAAAGCGGTCAAAGAAAAATTCTTAATACGGCACACACTTGCAAGAAATGTGGAAAATATGAAAAGAAAGTCAAGAACTTACCTTCGTTGTTAACGGTAGTGGTCTCCATTGTTGTTTATTTGTTGTTGTGTTTGGGAATTGGACGAAAAATAAGATAAAGACTGGTTACTGTAAATGAAAATAAATGAAAAAGCACATAAAACAATTGATTAAAAAAAACAAACAACAATTTTGTAAGCTGAGATCTAACAGAAATATTTCATATTTTATCTTTACTGTCTATCAGAAGAAAAGTATAGTAACAATTACCGATAGGCTATGCTTCTGGAACGAGAGGTTCTAAAAAAATCCTGAAATGTCTAAGCAACATGAATAGCAAAATTTGGGACTAGATCGAGCGAATATTCAACAAATAAAATTCTTTATAGCCAAAATTATTTTAATCTGGCATTAAGTTCATACTAAATATAATTGATGGACTTAAGAACAAAGTGAATATAAATTAATCTATTGAACACCCCTCGTTTAGCACATACGCTGCTCCGTTACAAAAACTGCCCACAGTTTTAGGCGAAATGCATAAAACACTCTAGATAGACGCCCTTGCAAAACCGAGTGCAAGGAAGAGCCAAACAACGGCAAACAAAGAGCAATGCCAATAAGAAGAGTGACAGGCCGTAACAGCGGCAGCTATAACAAGCTCTCGCTCATTACTATAAAATAAGCAAGAGCAACAGCAACAACAGGGAAAAGAACTGCACTGGAAATTGGAAGCAACAAAGCGTGGGCTAAAAAGGAAAAGGAAAAAACTGCGCCTGCTGTCAGGGGCAACGACAGCAAAACCAACAACAACTACAACATTGAATTGAAAAGAGCTGCAAAGTTATTGGCGTCGGCGTTTTGCAGCTGTAATTGTTGTTGTTGCTATTGCAATTGCGCAGCAGAAAAAGGGACTGCAACGAACCGGATAAAACTCTTTCCAGTTTCCAACTGCTGCTGCTCTTTTTCATTTTTTTTGGTACTCACCAGATTTATTAACTACAAATATTCACAGAATATCCCACGTACACCTTAATATGACATCCAAAATAAAATAACTTCTTTATGGGTTCACTTTAACACAAAGAAAATTTATTGAGCTGCACTCTTTCTATTCACTTGCACTCTTTGAACTTTATTTTATTACGGCGCACAGCGCTATGTAACGATCGTGGTGGCGCAAGTTTAACGACTGAACGACTGAGGCGCCCACCAGGCTGCTTTGTAGTTGATCGCAGGAGAAGCGACACAATGGGCAGCATTAAACAAATATGTGATGAAAGTAAAGCAACTCACTCAAACGGCTTACCATAATTGAGTGCAAAGCTAAAAAAAAAAAAAAAACGATTTAAGTACAGAACAGCGAACGTCTGCTTTTATTTTTAGTCGATTAAATAATAAAATAGTAATATTAATTTTGTATTTAAAAGCGCATAATTCAATTGCGATCCACAGTGCGACATTGACAGCTGTGCTCTTCACTTTGTTGTTTTGTTTTTGTGTGTGTGTGTTTTTTTTTTTTTTTTTTTTTTTTTTTTTTTTTTTTTTTTTTTTTTTTTTTTTTTTTTTTTTTTTTTTTTTTTTTTTTTTTTTTTTTTTTTTTTTTTGCGTGTGCTAAGGGAAGCTGCTCCAGGCGAGTTTTGCATGCTTGCACAAATGTGTGCGAGTGAGATGACAATTGTGACACTTTTTTGTTATTCGCCACAAACGGTTAAAATTCAAAAAGCATTTTAAAGTAAAAACGGTTGTTAGACAAACCGGTACATGGCACTCTTAGAGTAAAACGAATGCCAAGGGGCAAAGAGAGAGCGAATTAAGGTGTTGAGCAGAATTTTTGATAGCGTAGACAAATATCCCACAGCTTAATTGAGTAACTTCCTTTGTATTGCTGCTCCGCTCTTATTGTTGTTTTAATGAAATCATCCGCTTAGATTTGCAGAAAACAATATGTATGTATGTATGTACATATGTAGGTGAGCAAGTGTGCGAGAAGAATTGTGTGACTTTTTAACTAGCTTATCTCTTAATGCATGCTCGGCTGTTGGGCTATAAATCAATAAATAGCATAGTGCGTATAGACAAGAGATAACTGTCGTTTCTATACTTACACGTATGTGTGTATGAATGTATGTGTGTTGACAGCGCAAGTGCAGTGAACTCAAAGGCATTAAGACTTAATAAGCTGAGACCCACGCTAAAAATTGAAATTAAAAACAAAATTTCAAACAAAAAACAAAATAAAGTGCCAGTGAAATTTTCCACCTACACGCCCAACGCCTCAATTAATTTACCTTTCTTCTTTCTCATTAGATTCGAGAGGTCAAAACAGTTGGTATTTACTGCAGATACGCAGAGTATGTGTGTGTGTGTTTTGTATGTATGTATGCTGCATGTAAGTTTGTTAGACATATCAAATTGAGATCACATAAAAAGTGAAATTTGATCGAATCGCTATAAAACTTGAAATTGCACATACGCACAGCAACCCCTGCTTAGACGCAGAGGAGGGGGCGTGTCGCCACTTTTAAACACGTTTAGGTGCGTAGACAGACGTTATCTCGCTGTAGAGCGCCAAAACAAATTGCGCGACAATTTTCATTTTCACTTGGCGGTCATAAAAAACATGCGTTCAATTTGCATTTTTTTTTCTCTCTTATTAATTAATTACTCTGTCGGCTGGCGCCGTCGACGTGTGTGAGAGCGAGTGTGAGAGCGCCCGATACTGAGCGAGAAGGAAGTTAAAGCTTTGCTTTGTTCGCCCTTTTGCGGCTGAACAAAAGCAGAAAGCAAAGCGCCGCTTGAAACAAAGATGCTGCCCGCAGCTGATTCACATTCAACCAACAACAACAACAAGAAAGAATGGTAGGCAATAAAAACTGTAATTGACATACAATGTGCGTTGCTTTAAAAATTGCCACCCGAGATCAGCGTCTGCTGCGCCTTATTTGGCACTGGTTCAAGGCAAAGCTGTGGCATCGCATCCCATCCGGGTTTTAAGAAGTTCTGATTGGAACTGGTGTCAGAAAATATACGCATGTTTATGTATGTAGTGTTTAGCTAAGCAAGCGGAGAATGAATGCCTTCCAGAGAGTCAATAGTGTATGTATGTACTTGCTAAAAATAAAATTGTTAGGCAATAGGATGTATATATATATATACATATATACCCATTTATATAGGGAGAAAGGGAGAGAGAGAGAGAGAGACACGGCAGAAAATCATTCATACAGAGACTATAAAAAGAAGATAGGCAGAGCTTTGGAACTAAAAGCTTTTGATTTTAAAAAGAGCGTTAGTAGCAATACAATTTGAATGATTGATTTGAAAAAATTTCAAAAAATGTAACGACTGGTAAACTAAAACTAGTTAAAAATTAAATAAAAGAAAGCAGTTGATATAAATAAATGTACAAAAAGTATAACAGGTAACATAAAATTTTTAATAAATATGCGTAAATAAGCCAAAAATTTAAGTGTTTTCCTTCTATTAAAAATCAAATAAAGAAAATAAAAAAAAATAGATATACAAACATATTGCTGTATTAATTGTTGATATGCTGTTATAGTTTGTGTATAAAAAAAAAAAAATTAGTAGAAACATGAATTTATAATAACAATTTCATATGTATGATAAAAACGATTGATATCAATAAGCAAATATAGTTTTATAAAATAATTTAATTTTCTTATATAATCTCATATATAATATATACGATAGTATATGTAATGTAATATAATAATAAATGCATACGAGTGTATGTGTAAAAATAATAATATAAGTATAACAATTGCGTATGCTTTTGCTCATCCACATTTTTCGCAAGAATATTTGCTATAATTTGCCTTATCTGAACGCACAAAGAACGTATCGGAATAATTACCAACGATAGCAAAATGATCATTCACCAATTGTGGATTGATTCGAGCCAAATTGTGCCAGCCATCTGTCCCTTTTACCATATCCATATTCATGTTTATATATTCAATGGCTCGCGCCTTCAACTGAAGTGCATTGAATTGATCAGATAAGATAAGCGTTTCAGCTGCATTATCTATGCAGAGTTGCGTGAACAGCGATTTCTCACACAAAGCTTTTAATTTGGCCAGCTTGAATTTGTCAGCCGCTTGGAGCAGTTGCTTGGCCAGATTATCCAGATTGGGCGCCTGATCGGTGTAGATGAAACGCAATATGTCGCTCAAGACCTGAGGATCCACATCGTCAAGGATCACGCGATTTCGTGAGTGCAGATCCGTTTGAAACATCGTCTCAAAGAACTGACTGCGAGCTGAAAAAAAAAAAAATTGAATTTCAAATCTCCGAGTATTTATTTCGTACTATCCACTCACCTGATAATATATTCTTATGTGCATATATTTCATGGCCATTTGATGAAACTTTAATATCACTGTACTGCTCATTATCGAACAGTTTGCCGAAATCTTCAGCTACCTTGGTGTCCGGCACTTTGATCGGATTCATTTTTCCGCACGTGCACGCTGCGTCCGTAATCAATCGAATTTGGCAAGCGATTGTTAACTTGTCGTGAGGTAAATAATTGTTATCCACATTGAAAAGTTTGCTGCAATATATGAAGGGCTCAAAGCAAACTGTCTTATCGCTGCTCAAGTTGAACAACTTTTTTTGCTGCGTCTCCTCATGATTCATTATGGCACATGTGACCTTAGCCTCTCCACGAAAATACAATCGTTCGACCTGGTGTACAGTCAGCTGGAAATAATCAGATACGTTATCCCCCTTCCTGATGAGTGCCAGCTCTAAACGCCATTTCAATTCGTTCTCATGCTCCCCGATGGGAAAATCCATAGATTCCCAGTTCTCTCTAAATTGCCAAGCTTCGCCAAAATTTTCGATTGTCCAGACATGATTGAATTTCACAATTTTTGGCTCAACAGTTGACCAGTCGTTCGATTCATTCTCAAATTTGTCAGAGATGCGAAACATATTTATATATTTGGATCTGCCATATGGATGCATATTTGGATTTTTGGATTGGCTTTATTTATTATTAT